TGGGAAGGAGTCGGGGGCTGTGCAGTGCATGGCAGCCCCTGACCGTGGCCTCTCCTCCCCCACAGCCCTGCGGTTCCGGCTGCTGAAGCACACACGGCTCAACGTTGTGGCCTTCCTCAACGAGTTGCCCAAGACTCAGCACGACATCAATTCCTTCGTGGTCGACATCAGTGCCCAAACGGTGAGCATGTTTCCTCCCTGACAGCCTGGAGTTGGGGAAGGGGCTGTGCAGAGCTGCATGGTAACTGCTGCTTCTCTTTCAGAACACGCTACTGTGTTTTTCTGTCAATGGCGTCTTCAAGGAAGGTGAGCATCTTGGGAGTCCTGTCTTTGGAGCAGTCCTTTCCCCAGCTAGTCTTCTCAGTCTCAGCTCCCCCGCTGTCTTCTCTTCCCTCCTCTTCCCCGACCTCCTCCTGTTCTGTCTCCAAGCCATCTTCATTTGGCCTCTCCTCTCTGCCTATCTTTTCTGCCTGGGATGCGGGGAAAGCCTGAGGAATAGGAGGACACAGGCAGGTCTGAGCTTCTGTCCCAGCCTTGGTCCCGTGTGTGAGCAATTTACATTCCTACTGAGCCTCAGATTCCTTATTTGCAAAGGGGGTTAGTAACAGCCATCTCCTGGGGTGCTGTGGAGTGACAGAGAGCTTGACACAGGCTTGTCACACACAGACTGTGAGTGGGCAATAGTGGTTATTACTGTCCTTTCTGACCTCACACTCCCCAGCTCTGCACACACATCATCATTCCCTTCTGGCCCCTGAGGGTTCTGTGTATCAAATGCAACAATGTTTTGAGAAGCTGTTTGTAAACGGTGTGAGCGCCTCTCAGGGCATTGCCATTGTTGTTGTTGCAGTGGATGGAAAGTCCCGGGATTCTTTGCGAGCCTTCACACGGACGTTCGTCGCTGTTCCAGCCAGCAATTCAGGGTAAGTGTTGGGCTTATCAGATGGGCTTCTAGTCCCAGTGCTGTGGGAATTGGAGGGGCAGGGGTAGTCAGTCCTCCGGATATTTTCAGAATTTCAGGAAGGCAAGGAGGAATCAGAGTAGGAGGCGAAGAGCTTGCTCTGGAGTTGGACTGACTGGGCTTTTCAGCCTGCTCTACCACTTCGCTAAGGGCCAGTTTCCTCATCTGAAGATTGGTGAAACTATTCACTTCCTGAATCTGTTGTGAAGACAGGTGGGAGGCAAGAACTGTCTGTGGTTTGGGCAGAATGTACAATTCTGTGTTTGGTAGATGATTGCATCTGTGGAGTCCATGGGAAAGTCCATGTCAGTAAAATGATAAAAGGTAATAGCTGAAAATAAGGTAATAATAGCCAAGAGTGAGAGGGGCCTTACAGGGATTTTAGGATCTGAGTGTGAAATTTCGGTGAGAATAGGAATGATGTTGGGAGGATGAGGTTACCTGTGTGTGTTCAACTATCTAAGGCGCTTTTTGTCCCCAAGGCTGTGCATTGTAAATGACGAGTTGTTTGTGCGGAATGCCAGCCCTGACGAGATCCAGAGAGCTTTCGCCATGCCCGCGCCCACGCCCTCCTCCAGCCCGGTGCCCACCCTGTCCCCAGAGCAGCAGGAAATGCTGCAGGCGTTCTCTACGCAGTCTGGCATGAACCTCGAGTGGTCCCAGAAGTGAGTGCTGGGCATGTGTACAAAGAGGGGTAAATTGAGGTAGAGCTGGTAGTGAATAAGGAGTGCTCCTGAAATGTTAAAAGTCAAATTATTTTTATTGCTTTAAAAAAAATAAGAGCCCTGGCTGGTGTGGCTCAGTTGGTTGAGCTTTGTCCCATGTACCAAGAGGTCGCTGGTTCAATTCCCATCAGGGCACATGCCCAGGTTGCAGGTTCAATCCCCAGTAGGGGCATGCAGGAAACAGCCTGTTGATGTCCCTCTTTCATTAATTAATGTCTGTCTGTCTATCTGTCTCTCTCTCTCTCTCTCTCTCCCCCCCCCTCCCTTTCTCTCCCACTTCCCCCTCCCTTTCTCCCTTCCCCCCTTTTTCCTTCCCCTCTCTCTCACAAATCAATAAAAACATATTTTAAAAAATTTTTTGTTGCCAAAACCGGTTTGGCTCAGTGGATAGAGCGTCGGCCTGCGGACTCAGGGGTCCCAGGTTCGATTCCGGTCAAGGGCATGTACTGGGTTGCGGGCACATCCCCAGTGGGAGATGTGCAGGAGGCAGCTGATCGATGTTTCTCTCTCATCGATGTTTCTAACTATCTCTCTCCCTTCCTCTCTGTAAAAAATCAATAAAATATATTTTAAAAAAAAATTTTTGTAATGGTCTATGACAAAGTTTCCCACAGGTATAAATTAGCATAACAAAATTTAAAGCCAAAATGAAGCCCCTTTATATGTACTGTTGTGCAACTTTTTTTCCTTATTCCGTGAACATCTTCCACTATCAGTATAAAAGTCACCTTAGTCTTTTTTTTTTTTTTAATTTCAGAGCGAGGATGTAAGAGAGAGAGAGAGAGAGAGAGAAAGAGAAAGATCAATGTGAGAGAGAAATATGGATCGGTTGTCTCCTGCCCATGCCCCCAACCAGAAATTGAACCAGCCACCCTTCAGTGTATGGGATGATGCTCCAACCAACCAGGCCACACCCGCCAGGGCAGTCTTGATAGCTGTTTCATATGTATTTTGTGTTCAATAGACCACCGATACACATTTGGATTACTCTTCATTTGTATTAATTGTGCAAGAATGTATGTAATTGTTGGGGACTTGGGCAAGTGTTTGTATAGAATGGATTTTGAAGTGGATTTAGTGACGAGGGTGGCTGCACTTTGGTTTTAATGGAGGTGCCTTCCTCTCTCTCCAGGTGCCTGCAGGACAACAACTGGGACTACACCAGATCTGCCCAAGCCTTCACGCATCTCAAGGTCAGGTTTGGGAATGCACGCGGGAGAGCGGGTCTGGGCCTTCAAGAGGGGGGGGGCGGGGAGCCTGGCTCAGCTGACCTCCCCTGTTCCTCCCAGGCCAAGGGTGAAATCCCGGAAGTGGCGTTCATGAAGTGACCCTGGCCGCCCGGGCCCCTGTAAATAGCCCCGGATAGCGATGTCTCCCTGCCATGGTAGTCGGCTCTTCCTCCGGCCTGGCCAGGCCGGGACTGGGACTGTGACGGAGGAGGGAGGCCGCGCACCTCCCGTCGCCTGCCTTCCCGAAGCCCCTGGACGATTTCCAGAAAATGGAGCCCCACTGGGGCCAGGAAGCCAAAGCGCCGTTGTAGAACTGACACTAAACCACCCGCAGGACTGAGGTGCTCTGTGCCCTTCACCCCAGGATTCCGCCTCCCCTACTTTTTAAGATAAAGAGTGAGATTGTATTTTGTGTCATGTTTTGCCTGGTCTGTGGTTAAAGGGAAAGCGGGCTGGGACGGGGGCCGCCT